TCATTCCCAAAAAGTCTCCGAAGGTCTCCTATATTCACACCCCTCTTTCCGACCATGACCTCGACCTCCAGTTCCAACGCATCATGCACACCCTCCTTCTGAAAATATGAAATCATCTTACTACGAAAAACATCAAACATAATATACAAATCCTGCTCATTCTTCACGCTACCAAGCCAAGGTTCTATTTCTGAGCCAGGATTGACACGTAACGTGCCTGAGCGGGCAAAGCCCTGTTGTTCAGCGATGGCCTCAGCTGTCGCCTTGCCCGCTCGCGCCACGATGTGTACGACGCTGCTGCGGTCGTTGAAGGTAGCTGTTTAACCGTGGCTGGAGGGTGATGGCTGGCTGCCGCTAGGTGGGACTGGGTTGCCGGCTGATGGTGGTTGGGCGTAGGTGACTTCACCCTCGTTGATCCTGTTTGCTTCAAGTTCGGCTTGTACTCGTTGCTGGACGACCTCCTCCACTTTTTGCTGTAGTTCTTGCTCGTTAAGGGCGGAGAGGTCGATGCCCTCCATGGTTTATGTTGTTATGGGAGTCTACCGATTGCGCGTGACTGCACAACCCCCGGAAGGCTACGCCCGCGCGCAGATACCGTGATATCGTCGCACTAGTGTGAAAGGTAAACTACGCGGGGTGCAGCAAGCACGTTCTGGACGTTGCTTTGGGGCACTGGGTAGTCGGCCGTGTTAGGCCGAGAGAGAGAGGTTGAGAGAGAGTTGGAGAGAGAGTGGGAGAAGGAAACTTGATTGGAGAGAGACGGTGGTGGTGGTGGAGAGAGAGGGAAGAAGAAGAAGAAGAGGAAGAAGAGCGCAGCACGCACGCAAGCCTTCCTCATCATCGCACCGACCACGCCCAAAGGGTCCCCGTGACTACGCCGGTGGTACCGTTCAACACACGAAATTCCCAACACGTGTCCCCCTGGGATCCTCACGACCAGATACTGCTGCGAGTATATCTAACAAACAAAGTGTTTCAATTTTTATAGCGAGCCCATGCACTTCGTGACTACTCAACCTCGTTGGAACTCATCAAAAACTGGACATGAATAAAACAATGGCCCAAAATTACTTTTTCGGCCCCCCGATACTTCGCGCTCTTTCACATACTGGATGCCGCATATTTTTACCGATCTGATCTTTTAGACGTAAAACATGGCCGACGAAAACATCAGTGTTCGGGCAAGTAACAGTAGAACACGCCATGAACGTCGTATCGCCCAATGGCGCGATTATCGGGCTGCTAATACCGCAGTCATCAACGCTCGTCGGAAAAACGGTCGTCATGCGAGACGAAACCAACTAAACTCCATCCGCCGGAAGCGTAGGACAGACATCATACGCGCGCGGAGACAACGCTTCGACAACATCTTTGGTATAGTGAACGACGGGGCTTTACTTCAAGACATTGTCCAGAACCGTATTTCTGCCTTGGAGGAAGCGCGAAGAGACATGGGAGTCAACATCCAGATGACTGATCCTTGCGTCCATTGCGGTGCGAAACTGTTCGCCAAAGAATCGAAGGGAATTTGTTGCAAGAACGGAAAATTAGTACTCCCCAGGCTTCCTCCACTTCCTCCTTTGTTGAGCGAATTGTACCAGTCTTCTGAACCTTCGGCTCAGAAGTTCCGCAAAGACGCCAGGATGTACAATTGCCGGTGCAATTTCGCCTCGCTCAATGTAGAGGACGGTGAACTGAAGAAGATGTTTGGCGACCACCTTTTGTTCTTTCAAGGAAGGTGAACAAGTAAATTTGTATGCTGTCTGCGGCTTTCACTGTGTAGATCATTGTAAACACTAAGAACATGTCCTCTTAGGTATAAGTTTAGAATAGCATTTCATATTGTGTGAGGCGTTTACCTTGACGCTAACCTGTTGATTCTATGTGTGTTTTTTTGGAGGTAAAACATTCATTCTGTACATACATACATGTTCCACCTTTTGTCCATCCAAGGAAGGTGAGCAAGGAAATTTGTATGATGCCTTCGGGTTTCACAATGTAGATCATTGTAAACACAGAGATTCATCATGTCTTCTTAGATAGTAGTTCAGAAAATATTTCATATTGTGAGAGGCTTTTTTTCGTCCGTGCCGAACTACTACAAATCACGCTTACCTCGACGCTGACCTGTTGAACCTATGGACGCAATGGAAGTAAAATATTCATTCTTTACATGTTCCACAATGTCCTTCCTTACACCAAAACTTCCTCCAGAACATACCACCATTCCGTCAGAGATGGCCAGCACTCCAACGTCCAATGGCTTCTGCACGATTCCAACTACGTTTCCGACCATCTCGACAAGCGCGTTATGGAAAAAATACGGGACTCCTTGGGGTCCACATCTATCTCCTTACATCGATCGTCTCCACACCGCCATGGATTTCCGGTATGTGTCGACAATACACTCAACATGAAACATTTGATTCATGTTTGACCACATCCTGATGTACTCATTCATGGGAATGACCACATATTTCGTGCTTCGTTAACTACGATTTGTCCAGGCCACGGGCGGTTGCCACTTCATCATCTTTCTTTGGCGTTCCATCCACCAGACAGCCCCTCTTCGGAAATCATGGCTGTCGACACTCGCAGCAGGGGAGTAATGCCTACAGACAAGTCAACAATGACGAGGACACTCACAGGCGGGACACAAACAATAAGTTATCTCAATTGGGATGATTTCCCATTGACTTTTGTCCTGCTCTTTCCTCATGGTGGTGATTCCGGGTGGTACCCAACCTTGAAAAGTTTCACTGGGCATAAAATTACTTTGGCCCACCCAACGGGTGACCCAGTTATTGTTTAGAGAACCTCGGTTCGAACAATTGGGACCTTTGGTCAACGAATTCCTCATTGACGTTTATAGTTGCATCGAAGATCAGCGCCTCGCGTTTAATGCGCACAACCAAGACAAGTATCGTACTTCGATGCACCACGCTTCGGCGTTGGCACGTCGTCCCCGGGCGCACAACAACTCGGGCGAAACTGTTATCGTGCCATCAAGCTTCAGCGGCGGGTTTGCTGATCAAGCCAACAAACTCACGGAAGCTAAGGCGGTTTTACGCCACTTTGGTAGACCATCTTACTTCCTTGCGGTCACTTGCAACACGGTGAGTACTTATCATAATATATATATACGTCGTCTATTGTAAACCTTTCCCATAATCGATACCCCTGCCATAAAATTGCAACGAATTTTTTTTTTTCGTACTGTTCTGACAAATAATTATTCGGTGCTTTACGTGTAGGACACAAACGTTTGCCTGTCCAACAATTGAATTGTCGGAAGGCAAAAATAAATAAATAAATTGAGCAGGATTGATTGGCCGGAAATCCGTCAAAAGCTCCATGCGGGTCAGACCGCCTTCGATCGTGCTCAACTTTGCGCGAGGGTTTTCAAGCAAAAACTAGACGCGCTCCTTAAGGTGATCATATCCTTCGCTATGATAATACAAAAAAAGTATACTTCTATATCAACAGTGGGCATCAATTTTCGAATATACTTCAATTACATTTTTTTCACACACTTGCAACAACCTTCTTTCGCGCCTGCTGCTATCACCGCAGATGTTACCAAAAATCTTCGGCAAGATTATATTCCGCATCGCCGTCATCGAGTTTCAGGTGATTACACTCACTCTGCATCTCTATCCCTGTTCAAAATGTGGTGCACGCTCATCACGAGATCAACATGTCCACACCATTTATGTCAGCCAATCATCTTGCTCCTAGGACCTCTCTTTGTGAATTTCTTTCCGCCACACGTTCAGAAGCGAGGACCACCGCACTCCCACATCGTGTTCAAAGGTGAGACTGAAAATAGATACCCCGTGTTCATTGTACGCAACGCATTATTCTCCACTATAAGCGAGCAAATTTTGCCCTACTCGCTGTTGGCATCACTATTTGACTCTTCGCAATCACTCGTGTTGAACAACGTCCCCACTGATTTCTGCCCACTTTCCTTCATCGTTATTCCTGTTCCCCACGGTGTTAAGTTTGCGACGAAGACGCTCCTGATAACCCGAATGCGATCGACCGTCACATACGCGCGACATGGCCGGACAAAGAGAATGAACCGGAATTGCACGCCATCGTCGAGAAATTCATGACGCACTCCGGATGCAAGAGTAAAAGACGACAATGTTACCGGGAAGGGCACATCCAGTGCAAGAAGCGATTTATTTCCTATTTCACAACGTCGCCGGCCTTTACCAACGAAACCATTGATTTGTCGGGTGGAGGATCATCCGACGGAATCAAACACAAGCGCGGCGCCTCTTCTTCTCAGGCAAAAATACGCCGTTCAACCCAATCGACCGACGACAACGGCATCTTCGATTCCGTCATCGACGACGTCGAGCACATAAGCTCCGACGAAGACTCCGACGAGGACTCCGACGAGGCCTCCGACGAGAACTCCGACGAGGACTCCGACGAGGACTCCGACGAGGACTCCGACGGCTCCGGGAGCCACAACGACAGCGACGAGTGACTGCTTGTTTTCGAAAAATCCTTTAATTTTCTTCCTCAGATGGTTTTCCTTTGGCGTTTTCCACGGAACGGCTTTTTGTTATGCCTTTGTAATTGTATCTGCTCGTAGCCTTCGGATATTATTGTATGAATGATTATTGTGACATCGTGTGTCCGTAATTACTATCACTACATCGACGACGATAATATTAAGTTTAGACGACGTTGGTGGTACGCATTGCTCGTAGACAGGGTTGATGAAAGCAATGTTATTGTTTTTCGAATGAATGATAGATCCTGAAATCCTGCATAATGACTGTTCGAACCGACCTATCATTTTCTTACCTAGATGTTTTTTCTTCATTGAAGGCGCTTTCCACAGGAGGAGACTTTTCTGTTCGCTTTCTTTTTGTACCTGCTCGTAGGGTTCGTTGTGTTGTATTATATGTTCGTGTGCCTGTCCTTACTATTACTACAACAACTACTTTATTTACTACTATATTAAGGTTAGACCCCGTTGATGTTACACATTGCCTGTAGACAGGATTGATGGGAGCGATGTTCTTTGATTTTGTTTGGTAATTTTCACCCAGCGAGCCTACTCAACAACGAACGATGTTTCCTCCCGTGGAAACGTTCGGCCCCACCTAACAGCCTACGATCCATCTTCAAGACATTAAATGTTCTGTTTCTCTGATTCTAAAAGTTTCACGACTCCGAGTTTCAACCTTGACCCTGCTCGCGAAGCTAAATATGGTGGCCGCCCGCCCTACTGGGGGGCGGGGGGCCAATCGTTCCCCCTAGT